TGTCCTTTGACACTGTAATTATTTATTGCCACTGACCTATTAATATATTAAAAAAAAAAACTTTTAACAGTTATTTTTGAGAGACAGAGAGAGACAAAGCACAAGCAGGGGAGGGGCAGAGAGAGAGGGAGATACAGCAGGCTCTAGGCTCTGAGCTCTACGTGGGGCTTGAACCCATAAACTGTGAGATCATCACCTGAGTAGAAGTCAGATGCTTAACCAGCTGAGCCACCCAGGAGCCCTGACCTACCAATATTTTAAAAGTGTAAGTTTCTTTCTTTTGTACTCGTTTTTCTTATAAAGGGCATTTACAAATTCTTAGCCCTTTTATTTAAGACTTTGGCATAGTAAACTAGTTTGTTGTTTAGCAAATATTCACTCCTTCTTCTACTTTGAGCTTGGCAATATGACTTGCTTTGGCCAGTGGGGTGTTAGTGACGTCATGTGAACATAGCCTTCAACTGTGTTTGTGTCCTGGGCTTTCCTCTTGTGTTTTGGCCATTACAATTAAAATAACATACTCTGGGTAGTAGTGTCCCACTCCCTGGGCCCCAGAATCAAACACTTGAAGCCAACCTGGTAATCTACAGTCTACAGCAGTTGGCCCAACCAACCAGCAAACACTTACGGGAAGAATAAATGCTTATTGTTATATGCCACTGATTATGTGGTTATTGGTTGCACACCAAAAACTGTTATGTAGAGTGAAAGTAAATGATAGACCAAGCTCTACCATTTACTAGTTGAGCTAGAATGTCTGTATCTGTAAAATGAGAGGTTTGCATTCATTGGATCCTAAGTTACTTAACAACATTTAAAACTCATGATTCTTGAGTATACTATTTATTACAGTATATTTCCAGAAAACAAGTCAAAATATAACCAGTATATAATGAACTCTAGAGAAGGATGGATAAAAAAGGAATCCTAGAATTTCTCTGATTAATTTTATTTTTTTTTAAAAGCAGAAAGATTGGGGTTTCATTGGATGGTGTTCAATATACGACTCTGGTCAGCTACAAAAGCCAAAAGTATGTCCGGAGAGGAGGCTTCCGGACTGACTTCCATGTCAGTTGGTTGCAGAGTACTTAGAGGGTAACATGGTATCTTTTCACTAAGTCAGCCTTCAGGGATGTAGACTTACAGATCATATGCAGGCTCTACTCACTGTGAACTCTCTAAGAACACAGTATATTCATCAACTGCCATAAGACAATATTTAACATATAATGGAGAAGAATAACATGATTGAGTGAAAAATGTAAACTACAGAGTGCTGAAATGGCAATTTGCTTTTTCTCTTTGCTTTTCCTTGAGGGATTTTAACCTTCATATAGGGGATTCCTGCTTTGCAGGAGAGGTGGGGTTATACCATATGTAACATCATACCCAACCTTAAAATATCATGACATCATGAAAGAACGAGATTATCTGAAGCATTTGTATGTAAGAACCTCAGTGATTCCCCCCACCCCCACCATTTGTTAATGGTAGATACTTTCAGAGCTCTAAAAACCCCTAACTTCCTGCCTAAAAAAGGCAGAAATCTCTTTAAATATTTTTTGTGCCTTATTAGATACTTAATTTTAAAATTTCCTTTGACCACAGATTTCCTCTAGTTATTCAATTGCTGTTTATATGCATGCCAAGGAATTGTTTCCACAAGGACAACATATTTCTAAAATCAAACTTGTTCACTGGCAAAATTAATATTTATTTGTAATGAAATTATTTGTGAGAAGGACAATAATACACATTAAAATTTGTCATTTAAGTAATATTTTTGAAGAAGGAAATGCTCTTATGCAATATGACTGAAATGCTCTGGGGAGCTCTGAGATCGTTTTTTCATTAAATAGATCTGAAATTATGTGAACAACTAGAACATGAGAAAGGAAAGAGGAAAACAAAGTTTAGAACACTAGGGAGCGAGAAAATAGACTGCGAATGGAACAGCAATTTGTTCAAGGTTACCCAGTGAATCAGGAACAAAGAGGAAGGTTGGACTTATGCCAAAAGCCAAAGTATATCTACATTAATGGCTGTGCACTAAATCTGCATTTTCAATAGATGATGTACTCATGTTTATATGGGGGAAGATAGTCATATTTACCATCCTCTCAGGGCCTACCATGTGTTACTACATAAGTTTTTATTATTTACATAAAATGATAAACACTTAGAAGCCAGAAGTTAACAAAGCATGATTTCATGGTTCCTGGGAGGCTCAGTCAGTTAAGTGTCCCACTCTTGATTTCAACTCAGGTCATGATCTCATGGTTTGTGAGATCAAGTCCCAAGTCTGGCTCAGTGCTGACAGTGTGGAGCCTGCTTGAGATTGTCTATCTCCCTCTCTCTCTCTCTCTCTGACCCTCCCCTACTCTCTCTTTCTCTCTCTCAATATAAATGAACTTTAAAAAAAAAAAGCATTATTTCGCATACATAATTTCATTTCGTCCCCACAATCACCTCTGAGGTAGGTATTATAATTCCTGTCTTAAAGATAAATTTAGATCCAGAAAAATTAAATGACTTGCTGAACAACACATTGTCACGAAACACATTGGGATATTTTCACCACAGCAAACGGGTCAGCAACCCTCTCTAAAGATACTATTTAAGGAAGCTCAAAGAGGTTTTGCATTAAGTACAAAAAAGTTGAAGATTAAAAAAAAAAAGACCCTTTGAAGAACTCAAATTTGTATACAAAGTTGATATTTAGGGAATAGAAAGCAATTTGATTAATTTGTTATATGCAGCTGATTTTACTAGCTAATTAGCTGTGATATCAGTCAAGTAGGTCTGCATAAAATCTTTAAATTCTGTCGATAAATTATTTGTACATGAGGGCATCTGGCCATTCAGGCATGAGAATCCTAAGAGACGGCTTTGAAATAATACAGATCTACCAAAGAAAGCAGTCCTACTTACAAAATCAAGTCTGTGCTCCATGTCTACTTCAAAGCACTGTTCATCTGCCTTGCCTATGAATATAGCAAATAATTTTTCTAGAGTAAAAACACAGAATTCCTTAAAATATACATGAATCTCTGTCCCAAAGCTATTGGGGCCTCTGTGACAAGTTGTCTTCCACCCAAATCCACGTGTAGCAGAGGAGAAAGCAAAGTTTTTCCCAAGCGGAGAGAAAACAAGTGAGAAAAGGTGGGAATATAAGAGGTTGTATGATAAAGAGTTAAGTGAGATCTCGAACTCCTTACCCAGTCTATCTACATTCATTCTTGGCTCTGCTCCTAACTGTGCAACCTTGAAAAAGTTACTTAATCTCTTTATGATTCAGTTTTCGCATCTGTAATATAAAGTAATAGAACCTATCTTACAGGGTTGTTTTAAGGATTGAGTTAATATTTGTTAAGTACTTAGTGTCAGGTATACAGTAATACTAATATAAATGTTTGATTAGTGAAGGAAGATGGGGAGAGTGAGAGACAGAATAGTGGACACTATGTGTCTTTAATGTATTACTTTGCTTCCTACTAACAGGATCCTTGTCTTTCCAGAACTGGGGCCACTGATTCCTACCAGTAAGCTTTTAACCCCATTTCTTGTCTGACCCCAAACGACTCTTGTTCAGAAAGATTTAGGAAGCCCTAACTCAGTAGTTCAGGTGAGTCAGCACTAAGTCAAGCTTGTTGTTATTCTTATCCTGACCCTGTGTCCCAGTTTCAGTCACTTGTTCCTGTAATCAAGTCCCAACCTTGTATTCCAATTCTAGCATTATGCTCCCCTGTGGCGGAGTCCTGGCTTGGAGGATCAGCTCAGGATCTCCAGTTCCTTTGAGGCAGAAGCCACCCAAAGGGTAGCCTCTGGACTACTGGCACACAGTGCATGAACTTTGGAAAATCAGTTGTCTATATTTAAAAATTCCAAACCTTTACATAAGAATTCAAATATCCAACTTCTCTAGAAAAGTTAGATGATTTGGTAACACTTGGTCCCCATCTCTTTTTGGTACCAATCCACTGGAGCCAAGTGGCAGCTGCCCCCTTTGGAACGCCATGTACTCTCGATTCCCTGCTGTCCCCATGCCTTTTCCTTCATTTATTTCTGGGAGTTACTTTGTCCTTGTAGGCATTTAAGGTTGGGTCTAAGAGTTAGAATAGCGATACTTACCAAGCATTTACATTGCGTCAGGTAATTTTTCAAGTGCTTCATGAGTTTTATTCATTTAATCAAAGACCAGGCATCTGTTCTTATCCAACCTCCCTGCAGTCCTTCTCCTTGCTTCAAATCCTCTGTCTGTACACACACCTGTGTTTGTCCCATCTTCCCCAATCACTACTGCCTATCCATTAGCTAGGGTCACACATAAAGCCTTGTCACACCTCCAAAATGTCAACTGCTCACCCACACTGTGGCCTGCTGCCACCCTCCAATCTCCCCTGCTGAGTCAAACTTTGTTGTTCAAGAATTTTGGCCATTATAGTGGTTGTACTTAATCCCAGGCTTTACCCATTTGTCTGATTCTAGTATCTATCTCATGCTCCAGGCTTTCATAAAACCATGCCTTTCATTATACATAGAAAGACTACACCCTTAAAAAATGTGTTCCAACTCTTGTTAGAAACCCAGCAAAATCCATCAAATATTTGATAGCTTACTTATGTTGTATGTGCTACCACAGAAATTTGATTTGATTATTCCTTTACTAAGAAACCCAAAGAAGTTTATCCATCTCTTCTATAAGCAATTCAGTATCTTTTCAGGGAACCACCCAGGAAACTAACATTTTTTTAATACAATGGGCTTTTTTCCCCTATGATAGGCCCTTATGTTTTCCAAAACAATGAATGAAAGAGAAAACTATTTGCATAACTAAGCTGAGATTTAGCAAATATCAAAACAGAACTCACAAAACTCTTTCTACACATTTCATAAGATTATCTGGACTGGGTAGAATTGAATATGTATTGAATTTTAAATTTAGCTCATTAAATTCTAACATAATTTTTAAAGAAAGTCTTAATAAAAATGTTACTTACATAAGGAATCGTGTCCAAAGTATCTGTGTTGACAATTATAGGAGCAGGGCTGGCCTAAAAAAGAGACACAAGAAAAAAAATTAAATAACAGGTAATCTATTCTGAGATAGGATCTGTTAAACTTATTTAACAGAGTTCAACAGTATTTCTTGAGAACCTGTAAAGGCACTATGTCAGGGTTTCAAGGGATAAATGAAATGTCTTGGAATTCCCTGAAACCACCTTCCTTCAAGTATTTGCTATATTGACTACATAATGAAATGAAGTAAGCAGTTAAATTTGTACTCATTTTCCCTTTAATTCTACCCAACAGTAGGAGGTGAGGATTTGAGCTGTATATGAGGTAAGAATTTCTAATAAATTGGGTGAGTAAAAATGTATAGCATTTCTTTATAAAATGGCTATACAAAATAAATTTAATTTCTCTCTCATGGAAGCAAAATTTAACCTAAAGCAATATTTGTAACCCTCCTCTTTAAACTGCCTTTTGAGAATATGTTGAAATAGAAAGATTCACTTATTGACATCTTATATGTATATTTACCTATTATATATTCTGTACCATATCTTTCAACATTTGTGCTTTTCTGATCATGTACCTTAGAAATCCTTAGCTAGAAAATTACAAACTAGTCAAAGGTGGCATAAAATCATTATGAGTATGCTAAACTTCCTTTTTTAAAAAACATGTACAACCTGCAGTCATTCCCTTTAAAGCTGGGTAGGAATCTGTGTAACACTGATACAGAAGTGCTACAAGCCAAGTCATTAGAAAATGAGAGATTGCAATCTCTATTTGCATCAACCAATCTGACTTCATGAATATTGAGTAGATCTATCTTTATTTTCTAGTTTCTAGAATTTTCATAGCATCTTTTCCTTCATCCCCTGCAGGATCTTTAATCTCCTTCCCAAATTGCAGATTTCATTTAGATAGAAAAAAATACTCTCATCATGGTAAATCCAGAGCTGTCCTATAAGACATGGTAGTTTTGGCAAGTGCTCAACTTTTGGGACATTTCATTAGCTGTGCCCTCTGGAGTTAACAGAGTTAACAGCTTTTAAATGTCAATCTGTTAATCAAATGATTAAAAAAATGGCAATTCAGCAGATTTTACAAAACAAAATTCCATGTTTTAACATAACACACCAGGCATTGAAAACATGAGCCTGGTCTATATGTGTCCATAGTGAGCCAACTAGATGTTCACAGTTTATTCATTAACTCCTAATAGCAAGTACCTTTAGGGTGAATAGGGGCTTTGGAGAAAGACAGTTTTCACAGGATCCCAACAAAACAAACAAACAAACAAACAGACCCTAAACACCTGCATACAAAAAGGCAGTTCTTATTAAGAGGCATGTGGTGGTGTAGGGAGAAGGACAAGAGGTTTGGAGTTAGAGAACCTGGGCTCAAGTTTGGTTTAGCAACTTTCTGATTATACGTTTTGGGGCTGAGCAACTTTCTGATGATGAGATCTGGAGGCAATTACACTAACTCCCTTTGTCTCATTTTCTTTCTCTGTAGAATGGGAATAGAAATAATCATCTTCTGAAAGAGTCATTTGAAGAATAAGTGAGATGATATATTTGAATGTGCTTTGTAAACTTACATTTCAGAATCAATATTAAATATTATTATTAGCAGCCCTAAAGACAGACCACTGTAAGAATATATTATTGACTGGTTTGTGAATTGTTTACACCCCAGAGATTTCAAAGCCATGATAGTGGCTACAATCACACTAAAGAAAACTAAAGATTAGACCATGTGACTTACTATTTATTAAATATATATTACTTGCCCAGGTATAAGAAAATGCACATATATCCTCATTTAATCTCCACAAAACCATAGTGATAAAGCATTATTATCACTATCCACATATTATAGATGAGAAAATGGAGGCTCAGGGAAGATAAGAGCTGAGATTTAACACTGGCCTTTCTGACCTCAAAATCCATTTTTTTTTTTCCACACTAAGTTGCTCCATGATCTGAGTATCTAGGTGGCTCAGTTGCAAGAGTCCTGCAGTGATTGCAGATCTCGAGGTAAAGCAGCATACAAGATTCTGGCAAACCAAAGACCACCCTGTAGGCAAGAGCTGCCTTAAGTCTTACATATCAGATATTGAAAGCAATCTGGTGATGCCTGAATGGTTACTGTTGTTGTCTTCCTCTTCTGTTTTTTTAGTTTTTACTTCCTCTCTTCTATGCTTTCTAATTGGTTCCCAGGACTCTTCTAAAACATTTGTGCCTTGCCCCCTTGACCAGACTGAAAGCTTTCCAAGTATTACACCCAAGACTTATATTTAGTACAATTTGATCAATAAATATGTATTGATTTGATTCAACCCATCTTACTTTTGTTTTTCCTCTTACAGATTATATTAACATGATCTAGGAATAAATTTTGTATGCAAGCCCATTTCCTTTATGATGTCATTTATCCCTTTCATATGTTTATGCTGCTATTTTCCTTTTCATATACATAAATTCAGGTTTTCTAATCAGACTCTGTTTAAAAAATGACAAGGATTGAATATTTTCCTAGAATTCTTCACAGCACTTGGTTACACCAAAGGAGCTCAGCAACAACTTAGGAATTACTGGCTAAATGTTGATATAAAGTATAGGTGAGGGTATAAAGGAAAGTAATAGCTCTTTGTAAGCTCGTAAGCTCAGGAGAGCATTTCTAGGATAACTCCAAAATCTCCCATGTTACCAACAAAACTGTGACTACTTTTCCAGATTATCCACTGTCACTATCTTTCCTTAATCAGTCCCTATTGCTTAACTATCCAGCTTTTATGAAATATTGATTATTTCATAACTGTAAGCTGTAAAGGTTGTGAAGTATAATCTATGTTATGTGGAAAGCTCCTTATTGAGTAAAAAAGATTCAGAAGCCCCCTTTAATGCCTGCATCTTTTAATGTCATTAAAAATGCATGAACGAACAAAATGTATAGATTGTTTGAATATACACATACAGCACATACATCTGACACTGACAAATCCCAGGCATGAATGCCAAGATGTCATGGTTGGCTGTTCTGTATCCCACTGCTGCTATATCTGGCTCTCTGAAGATCAGATCTCCCTCCCATTGCTTTGTTTCAGGACCCTCATGACCCTCCCCAGACTGTTTTCACAGAAGCTTCTTGAAGGTACTCAATGCTACAAATCAGCAGAGAATAAAACTCCCAAGTGGTGACAGAGTATAGTTGAATTCTAAGTATGGCCCATGAGTGTGCTTCTGTAACCAGTTGTGAATTTCAGATCTCCCCATGGCTCATCCTGGCTTCTGTTTCTTTTCTCGCTTTTGAAATCATGTGAGTCCATGCCTAGTTTGATCAGGTCTGGTTTTAGATTCTTAAAACCAGTTCCCTAGTTGCTTTGATGGTTCCCACTAAGCTTTATCTCCACAATTCTTACTGCCCTGCTGTACACATAGTCTCTTTAATTGGGTATTGGGTATTCTCTTTAATTGAACTCCTAAATCAAACTGGTGACTTAGCAGATTCCAGTGTCCAACTTCAATATGCTGATTTCCATTAAATGGAAAGAAATTTTTAACAAATATGAAAAAATCATTTTTTAATTTATTTTTATTATTTATTTATTTTTACTTTTAGCAAGAGAGATAAATAAGCAGGGAGAGAGAATGAGAGAGAGAGAGAGAGAGAGAGAGAGAGAGACAGAGACAGAGACAGAGACAGAGAGAGAGAATCTTAAGCAGGTTCCATGCTCAGCACAGAGCTGGGTGTGGGGCTCGATCCCACAACCCTGGGATCACGACCTGAACAGAAATCAAAAGTCCGATGCTCAGCTGACTGAGCCACCAGGTGCCCCTGAAAAAAAATCTTTTAATGAGAAGTTTCAAGTCTTGTCTTTATATAAATATAGCCAAGGATTTTTGAAACTATAAAGGCTTAAAAAACCAATCTCTCTTAGGTGACCCAAACTATGAGATATACATGGTTTGCATTTTATATTACATTCTTTATATGTGCAGAAAGCTAGTTTACAGCAAGAGGGAAGTATAAAGTTAATTGTAGAAAAGCGAAAAGCAAACAGAGAGAATACTGAAAAATTGAAGTTGTTAGATCAAGTTATTCATGAATTCTCACCACTTTCCTCTTTGAGCTCCATAGGATACCCAAATACCTTTACATTACATCAATAACTTTGTTCATCCCAGTAAAAGATAAACCACTGCTCTTTGCCACAAAGAAAATAGTGACATAGATTTACTAAAGATCTGCAATTGCCCCTGAGCATCATCACTACCTGAAATCTTATGGGACCATGACCAAGCCACAGCCAGATCTTCGGTGTATTAACACTGGGGTGGGTAAGAAGAAAGTCAAGCATTTATATAGCACTTATTTATATAATTAACTTATTTAATCTTCACATAACCCAATGAGTCAAATACCATTATTCTCTATTCACAAGTGAGGAAGTAGAGTTTCAGTAATTTTCCCAAAGTCAGACATATGGTAAATATACCATCTTCAAACCTAGACAGTCTAGCTCAGAATCCATACTCTTGACAATTATACTCTACTGTCTCTCAGAACGGAATTGGAATTTACAAGAACTCTTTGGATTCTAACTACTGTTGTTCACTAACAGGTCAGAAGCCAGCTCAAAGCAAAGTTAGATATATACACCTTGATCCTGGCTGGTGGCAGAGCCTTCCCCTCCTCACTCTGGCCCAGTTACAGGGTTCCAGATACATCATGTGAACAGGCCTGCAGGAGGCATGGCTTAGAAGAAGGTAATAAGTGTCAGTCTAATGGCAGAATTCTAGCAAGCTGCTTGCCTTGTTTATCACTGCAAAGATTAAATGCTTTTGGGGGCTGCTCTCCCAGCCAATCTAGTGAAAACCAAAGGTGATTTGAACGTTAACGTTAGTTTGGGAAGATATAGTCAGGCATAGCCAGGCTGACTAAGTCTGGATGTTTTAAGTAAGCTCCAAGAAAATTTCTGGTAAATGACTGATTAAAGACATATTGATGGCTGTGTGAGAGAGAAACAAAATAAAAG